ATTAGAAATTCAAGGTTAGAATGCCCTGTTTTTCCTGGTAGACTTTATGAATGATGGGAGAACTGGTAGTCTTATGACATCATTTTAGCCAAGAAACTTAAATGAATGCGATGGGAAATTATATTTATTCAGACTATTTAAAAATAGGGGGATTTACTGTTTGCTTCTGTTAATCTCTATTTAACTCAGTTAAGGGCTGAGAAAGCTCCCAGTACACTCCTCTGAGTCTTCCAAAGAGACTTCTAGCAAAAGGAAGATATGACTGGATATTGCTAAAAAAACAGCAGAGGAAAAAAAATATTAATCACTTCCACTGGAAAAAAAAAGTACCTTCAGCCTCTCTTTTTTACACAGTATAATGAATTAAAATGGGCATCACCCCAATTTTTATTTCTTGGTAAATCACTTTTTAAATTTAAGAATCAGAAAATAATAGCAATAAAAAGAGAGTAAGAATAATGATACAGGAGGAATTAAAAAGTGAAAAAGTTATGGGATGATGTATAGTGGGATGGTTGATGGGATTCATTCAGTTCATGTGGCTATAAAACACCAATTACCCTTGCATATAAAAGCCATCATTGATGTAGTGATGTGAAGCCCTTTGAAGTAGGAGATAGGTGGAAACCACTAACTCATTTACATAGGCCAGTGAAAGGCTGTATCCTTCCTACGATGTTCACAAAGAACTTCTTTTAATGCCAATGAAACTGTTAATCTGCAGAATGAGGCTAAAACATGACTCATAGTCACCATCTGACTAAACTGGATTTTAATTGGTAATTTAAGGCCTTGTTCACACAGTGAATGTTACTGTGCCACTAACTGGTTATGCGTGGTTAGCTAACACACAATTCATGTCCATACAGCACACAATTAACAACTGGTTAATACCCAGTGCTGTGCCATTGCATATTGCTGCCATGAATAGTTCTCAGAGGAGTAAAACTTTTTTTTTCTCCAGAATTTCAGAGTTAATATTTGTTTCTCCATGGTCTTTGGAAATCTTTTCACTGTGAACCATATTACAATAGGTGAAAATTGTGCATTTTGCACAGTTCCCATGGCAGATCGCCTTCTGGCACAATATCTTTTCTGTAATTTTCTTGATAGACTTTTACCATAGTGATTTTCTAAGATTAGGTGTTCTGGGTGTTTTGCAGAATCATTCCTGCACCTAGGAAGCCTCAGAAAAGCTGCCTTCACATGCTCCATTTGCACTCAACATGATCTTTTCTGTTTTAAGGTAAATCAGTGAACAAGAGCTATATTTTTTAAGATATGTGTTCCTTTCTCTAGTGCTATTTGAAATCTCCTCTAGGATGATTTGGGGCTGAAACGTCTTTTACTTTCTTAAACCCCTTAATCTGGTTCAGTGCAACTCCAAAAACTTCAGTTGAGTTACTGCTGACGAGAGCTAGTCAAATTGCTTGTTGCAAATAATACTCATTGTAAATTGAACCATTCTTTCTGTTTGTGAATCATTGACAAAACTGGCATTTTTCTGTTAATGAAATTTTTATTTGTAGTCACTTGCCAAGTAGACAGAAATGTGTTCACAAGCTATCCGATCTGATCACCAGAAGGTATGTTATCATTATTATTATTTATTAATTTGTTAATTATTTTCATTTCAGTAATGCCTTGGAGCACTGCTCAGGAGAATTGACCCGCTATGCTAGGCACTGTGCAAACACAGAATGCAGATATTCCCTTCCTTGAAGAATTTACAATCTAAATGACTAGACAGACAGCAAATAATTAATTGGTCTCTGACCTCTGTCTGGACACACCTTTTCATGAAAGTGGCCAGAAGAAATGAATGGAACAGCAAACAGAAAGATATTTAACACTCCTTTGATATATGAGCACTGAAGCTGGCAGTGCCTGTTTGTTGAAGGAGGTGTAGGCTGTTAAAAAAAAATCTAACTGTAATATCTTAGTAACTTATTACTGAAACCATTAACTATCTAAGTGAGATGATGGACATTATGGGATGGTAACATTCTTGACAGACCATATTGATTAATTATTACCTTCTAATATTTCCTCATAGTCACGTTCATAATGATCAAGTGCTAGTACAAGTAAATATGAAATGAATTAATAAGGAGTGAACATTTGAAAAATAATGTTACTCAGTAAAATATAAGATTAAATGTCAGCTCTTCATTACTGGCTCTCTAGTCAAAAAACAGCCTGTGGTTATCTGAGGTAAAAACAGCTGCTTTACCACTTGAAGAGAATTTCCATGATGATCTATTAGTAATAGTAGCACTTATAGCCTCTTTCCTAGCCTTCAGCTACTAGAGGGTGAGATAATTACTATCCACATAGTCAAACCAGTTTTATGCTGAATCAGGCCAATTGACTGCACTATTTTCTTTACTATAATATAAACAAAAAGGCTAGTTCCTCAACTGGTGTAAATTGGTGTAGCTACATTGATTTTAGTGAGATACACCAATCTACGTCAGTTGAGGATCTGATCAAAGAGCCTGCTTCTCCATGGTCTTACACTTTGGGCATTCATTTACACCGGTATAAAATGGCTGTAAAACACTACCAGATCAGTACAGTAGCATTTTACACCTACTTTGCACTCCCTACTGACTTAAGTTAAATCAGTATACACCTCATTCAAACCAAATAAGAAAGTCCAGTGAATGGGGATGCCTGCACCAATTTAACTAAGGGCACGTCTACACTTAAAACATGAAGATGCTCCTACGCCACTGGGAGAGCTTTTCCCATCAGCGTAGTTAATCCATCTCTGTGAGAACCAATAGCTATGTTGACAGGAGAAGCTTTCCCACCGAAATAGCACTATCTACACCAGGGGTTAGGTCAGTATAACTATGTCTCTCAGGGGTGTGGATTTTTCACACCCCTGAGTGATGTAGTTATAATGATATGAGTCTGTAATGTAGACTAAATTGTTTCTAAACCAATTTAGTTAAATTAGTAAAATTTTCTTGTGTTGATGAGGCCTGAGAGCTCCAAATAAAGCAGGTATTTTGATACTTGACCAGCATAGCTATAGATCAGAGGCCTGATTCTGATCTCACATCAACAAAGTCAATGAGTAAAAGCATTGTAAATTAGATCAGAATCAGGCCACAGTGTTTGCTACCAAAGCTTAGCATGTCAAATTACCCCCTGAAAGGAAGCACTATTCTTGAAAGCATTTGGTCTCAAATCACCTTTTGAAATAGAAGAACCTGGAGCCATGATTGTTAGTAAAGTTAATACTTACCTATGGAGAGGTTAAAACATTTAAACAATGTTTTTCTAGAAAGAAAACACAAACTACTATTCTAAAATAATACAAAGGATATCACCAGAAATCATTCTTCTCCAGGTGGTAAAAGGAAGAAGACTAGAGTCTAGTGACTCAGGATTGACAATTAACCAAATCAGTTGCACAGTAAGATGTTACATCTCTTCTGATACTCAGAACCATATTCAGCCAAAATGCAGCCTTGTGTATAAGGGAGCAACACTCAGGGAAATCTCTTGGCCAAACTTAACAGTGATACAAACAGTTGTAAATTACATATCAGGTGTAAGTGGTAAAGTAATGTAAATGGCACCAATTTAGCATCTGAAATCTGATCCAGCAAAGTGCTGAACGGTCTCAATTCTCACTGACTACAGTAGGAATTGCGGGCTCTCAGCACCTTGCAGGATTGGACCCTCAGTGTGTAAAATGGGTGACTTGTGCTCCAAGGGAGTGGAAGGAGGGAGTAGTAGGGAAAGCAATTTTCAAGAGGATGAAAGATTAAACCGCCCCCTCCCACTACTTTGTTATACTTGCACCATGCTAACATCCCCATGATCAAATTCAGACCTAGCATAAATGGAAAAAACTCCCATTTACTTCAATGGCACTCACTTTAGAGTAGTGCTAGGAGGATAATGTGGTCCCCAAAGAACACTACATTGGTAAAAGTTACACTCGCTTTGCAATGCCAAGCTGTCTGTGCAAGTTAAACTGCTTTGCCACTTACACCCATGTCTTACCAATTTATACCCAAACATACATGTGACAGATGTGAGCATGGAAACTTCAAGGAGTATTATGTTGAGATTTGCCATATGTTATGGATGCATGGATATTCCTAGACTACAGTATCAATAAGCAGTGCACGTATCTTTTTGTTCTTTACTTGCTAGGTGGGTTTCCTGTGGAATCGGGCATCACTGAGAGGGGGGTAATTAGTGCAAATTACTGATTTTGGTTATGGAACTACACAGCCATTTGAAACTTTGCTTCCTGGGGAAAGGGCATTTACTGGTTTTACCTTGGTCAGGAGGCATGGGAGTCAAAGGCCCCAAATTGTATAGAGTCAGCCTGATCTGGCTCAGGAAGAGACTCGCTTTAGAAGAAAGTATTGACAAACTTGTATACAGACCTATTAGGATCCCATGCAGATGATAGTAATATCCAGTAAGCTTAGTATGTGTGTAGACTGTTTATTGTTTTCTTGTAATACTTTTGTCCTAAATAAATGTACTGTACTGTGCTTTGTGAAAGCTGGCTTGTCAATGGTTAACTCTGTCATTGTCCCAAAGAGAAAGCAGAACTGCAGGTGCTGAGCCAAGGTCAGATCTGCTGGGATAAGCACAGTAAAATGCAAAGGCACTACAGCCCTAAAACTCTCTTCTGGATGGAGAGGAACATGGGTTCCCATACCAACACCCACAAAGTGGGGAACAGGTGCAGTTAAAGCCAGTGACAATACATATCATTCTGAGTTTGGCTCTCAAACTTAACTCGCCCTCTGTGCCAAAATATAGCTAGAGCTCTCCAAACAGTGGCTGAAATTATAATATGTAATATAGGGACTGCAATTTGCAGGCACAACAAAGGCCTATATAAATGGATTGCTGGGTCAGACTTTATGGATTCATGTCAGACACAATAACACAGACAGACACATGTTTGAACATAGTTTTTTTGGTTTTATAAATCATTATATTTGACATATTGCCCTGTGCTATCCATCATGTTTACAAGGTCTGGTCATCATTTTCTCATAGAAGATGGTAGATAATTGACATGTAACGTGTAGTTCGCTGATTGTTCATTTAGCATGGAAATGACATTGTATCTTGCGTTATTCAAATAGATTTAATGTATGTACATGTGGATCTTTACTGAACCTCATTGCAATTGAATTGAAAATGAAAACTGACAAAATAGAGGTAAAGACAAAGTTTTGTTTCAAATTATTATGCTGAAAATCTAAAATATATATATTTGTCACTGCAGATTATATGAAGATGATGCCTGCTGTATTACAAGAAAAGTGGACTAACTAAAGAAAATCTGACTTTAGTTTAGAAGGATGAAAATTCAATTACTTTCCAGAAATCAGTGATTCTGTATTTTTCCTCAAAGTTTAGGTGCTGTTAGTCTGAAGAGAAATTAGCAAGACAAATTCATGTCCACAGATTCAGTGAATGCACAAAACACAACAAAGCACCTGTGGTAACAAAAAAGTGAATTTCAATTAGTGCCTTAAGACACAGTTTAATACTCTTTTTTGCATTAAATACTGGATATACTTCATGAGCTACATAATTAGAATAACATGCATATTTGCTTAACCTTTCTTCACTCGGGATATATGGTTAGGAATCTTTGAGGATATCCTGGTTAGTAATTAGCATCTCATTATATGTTACTATTGTAGTAGGAATACTATTACCAAATCCTTCATCAATCTCTGCTGTGATGCCTGGAAAATAGGAAAATAGTTAACTGATTCCAGATAAACCTGACAAAAGGATCCTTCTCAATTATGTTGGGCCAACTTCTGTCAGAGTATATTGGAATTGTTTGTGATGTTCCCCGGTGTGGTCTACTTTGGCTTGGCTGCTCTTTGGTATTTACCTTCCACCTCATGGACAGACATTTGCAAAATATTTCATTGGCTGTTGTTACGCAGATGATGCCCAGTGATTCCACATGATTCTCTGGATTTTGGGGAGGATATATAGTACTAATTGATAACTGCCTACCCTCTGTGTAGGCGGGACTAGAAACATTGATGCTTGCAGTACACTTGCTCAGTTTCAACTTTTTTCTTTTCTAAAGTTTGACCTTAATTTCTCCAAATTTTATTGTTGTTATGACTAGAAATACCAGAAATACTTGGATGATAAGAGATAATGAGCAGTTTGCTGAAATTAGGAGAATTGGTGACCTGCTAGGGATTAATAGGGTGATCCACTAGGAGTCACTATGAATTATGTGCTTTGTTTAAGTTCGCTGTAAAAGATTAAGCAAAAAAATACACTTTGGAGTAGTCCAAGGTAGCTTTTCTTTGGGCAAGGAGCTGACACCTAAACTCCCCAGCAGATGCTACCTTGGGGGACCCCTGGAAGCCTGGCTGCTGATAACTTGAAACCATCTCAGACTTTGGGTAACTATAATGTTTGGGGTGCTCAGAACCTACTGCTACAGCATATGTGTGTGTGTGTGTGTTTGAGACCTAATAAAAGAGTAGTTTTAGTAAAAGCACTCTAGTTTGTACCAATCATTTATCAGATGGAGGAGGTGTGTCTCTCCAGGAGGTGTCAGGAATAAATCAATAGGGAAACAGTGAAGTTACCACTGCTTTGGGTTCTGAAAACCCTGGGTAACAGAGTTGGTGAACTAGCTAGGAGTGGTGGAGAGAAGGGTACGATTGGTACAAACAGTTTACTGTGCAAGAGGGGAGAATGGCGAGATAGTGTAGTCCATGAGTCAATTTATGGATGCATTCTGTTACTGGGACCCAAGGCTCAGGCTTGTGCCTGGTCAAGTGAGAAATTATGTCAGTTGTTTTATTCTTGGCACTGATGTGCTGGATAGAAAAGAAAATTGATTGGTTGCAAAACCCCTGCTCTTGCAAACCATGGGTGCTCCCCAAGGGAACTTACATGAGGGGCAGAATCAGGAGATGAAAACTGAGAGTGCCAGTGAGAAGATTATTGCTTGGTCTCGGTTGAGAGCGATGAGCCCATGCTGGGCCTCATTAGTAACCCACTGAACTCATTGTGAGTTGGGGAGACAGAGCTCTTTTGGCCCCAGGGCCACAGTAGGAGCTGACAGTGCTTCTCCAGCCATGGGGCTGCAATGGGAAGAGAGCTCCTCCGGCTCTGGGGCTGCAGCAGGAGCTAACAGCACTCCTCCAGCCCCGTGGCCATGGCTGGGACAGAGTGCTCCTCTCTGTGCTGGTGGTGGCCCCTGGGGCCAGAAGAGCTAGCAGTCCCCTACCATAGAGGGTGGGGTGGGATCCAGGGATCACGTTCGGTATAGCCAAAGTCTCGCTATAGCGAACGGCATTATAGCGAAGATCTACTGTGTGTGTGTGTGTGTTTGTGTTTAAGACCTAATAAATGAGTAGTTTTAGGTAAAAGCACTCTTGTTTGTACCAACCATTTATCATATGGAGGAGCTGTGTCCATCCATATTCATTTATTCCTGACACTGCCGGGAGAGAAACAGTTAAGCTACCACTGCTTTGGGTTCTGAAAACCCTGGGTAACAATTTAAATTGGATTTATAGTTGCTTTGTGCCATCGGAGCAGCATGTAGCTGTTGGAGCATGCCAATTAATCTGGCCCAAAATGATTTTCCTTTTTGTACTCATCGGCTGTCCCATAATAAATGACTGTCACAAATTCCATGATCTGAACTTAAAAGGATGCCTAAACTATAGAAATCCCTTTAAAAAGACTGATGATCTTTTGGTAATGCTGGTGGATAAATGACAGTTAAAATTTGGGTTTTTTTCCCCTATGCTGCAGCCCCAGGGCTGGAGGATCACTCTCTCCCTGTTGAGGCCCTGGGGCTGAAGAAGTGCTGAATGAACTGCATTTCTATATTCTACCTCAATGGGAACATTTTGTGTGTGTGTGTGTGTGTGTGTGTGTGTGTGTGTGTGTGTGTGTGTGTGTGTGTGTGTGTGTGTGTGTGTGTGT